GTATTATTTTTATGTATTTTTTTGTATTAAAAATAATGAATAATATTTTATGAAAATATTTAGTTTTTATATGTTAAAATAAATATTTACAAGTATATATATAAATATAAAAGAAAAGATAAGAATATATCTAAGTTAAATTTATTTTTTTATAAATTTATTTAAGAAAGATAGTTAATATATATTAAAGATAAAATATATTTTTTTATATGAAAAATAAAATAAAATAAAATAAAAATGCAATATTATCATATTTATATTTTTTATGATTTTTATGTATTAAAGAAAATATTTAATAAACAAAAATGAAAATAAAACAAATAAATAAAATATATGAAAATAGTTGGGCCAGGGGGGTATCCTGAGAAATCAAGTGGTATTATGTTAGAAAAAATGTTAGGTCCAACGTTGAAGCCCAATCCTGCAAAACAGCAAAAAAATGAAAAATGGAAAAGTATGAAAAAACAAAAGGTAGCGCCAAGGTTAGAACCCATGACCTGGGTCTCACCAGCGCGCTACCTTGTCACTTGGGTGGCTATACATCTGTTGATTTATGTGAAACAAGAAAAACATAACATGAAACGCTTCCATGGCCCTGTACTTCGTCTTCTTCCTCTAGCCAACCAGAAGCTTTGTAACTTTCTCATTTCTCCATGAAAATGAGAACTTCCAACATGAAAATGGTAGTACTCATTCCCACGATTTCAACCATGTAAATCATGTAAGCTAACAATCAAAGATCAAAACTAATTTTAAAAGCCCTAAATTTAAACCTAATTTTTACAGGAATTTGAACTTCAAAATTCTCTCAACTCAGGCTAAATAAATACAAGTTATGGATATGTACAGCTTTGTAGCAATGATGTCTACATTGTTTATTCACAAATCATGGCCAATGGATGCCTGTATGAAGAGATAGAAGTTGAGATTCTTACCTCTTTCAGCTAAGATCGTGAATGGAGTTTGAGTGAGATTTAGGAGGGCCTGAAGGTTGCTTTAGCTTGCTTGAACTTCCCTGAGTGTGTTCCAACCCTTATCTTGCTTTGAAAGTGTCTGAAACTCTCTATCCAAGTCAACCTGCAAGCTTGGAAAACAAAAATGGCATATGAAGGAAAAGGAGTTACAGTGCAAGGATGATGGTCTGGATCACTTAGATATCAAGTAGGTAAAGTGTTTGGATGATTGACACTTGAAACGCACAAGTCAATTTGTGGATTGCTAAGTTTATGCACAAACTGCAAGTTTGGACAGTTTTTTGGTGATATGGAGTGTTTGAATGTTTCAGGCCTCTTTCAATCGTGTTTCTAGTTTTAATGTGTTTGTATATTAGTATGTAAAAGGTTTCAAGTCAGCTTCTCAATAGATTTTTCAATCCTAGCCTTTTTGCACACTTTCTTGCTTTTGAAGCAAACTGAAGGGACAAGTCTCTACCTGCTTGTACTGGCTTGCTTGGAGTTGGTATGAGTTATATAAAAGTTGCCTTAGGTATGTAGTACTTGTGTGTGCAGAGAAGACAGGTTCAATGCTCAAGAATTGGAAAGTTGCAAAAGTGAACCTTTTCCAAAATGGCAATAGCAACTTTGTGCCATTTATGGAATTACAACTTGGATAAAGACTCTAGGGCTTGGATTAAAGATTTTTCAACTGAGTAAGAATTAAATTATAGAGTAAGAAACAAGTTTGGGACCTTTAAAGCATGGATTAGGCAGCATAGGTACTGATTTGAAATTTGTTCTTCATGAAATGGCTTGAATTCAAAGTGAGAAATTGCCAACTTCCTCCCTTCGATTCTCTCTACTCAAAAATGATCTTAAGGAGTTCTTGGACATTTTGGAAATATTGAAATGTGCTCCATAACTCATATTTGAAATTAATTTCAAGATACCTCTTAGAACTAGGTGAAAAATTTCCATGAAGGTAAGTCAAAAACCTGCCTAAATTAGGGCAAATTTTCACTAAGTTATTTTAGTTCATGAGCATGTATTCATAAAATTATATCTTGAGATCCAAGCATATTTAGGAAAAAATGTGTGAAGCAAAGTTGTATATTTTATGGATATCTATAACTTTCATGTTGGGAATTTCCTTTGAATCATCTTGTATCATGGTGAAAAAATGGCTTAAAGTTGAGAAAAAATAAGAAATTTATTATACTTAGAAAAATTTCTAAGTTAAGAAAATTTCAAATTTTAAAACCAAATCTTCAGTCTTTGATTCCTTGATGAAAAAGTTTCAAATTTTGACATGTTTTGATGAATTATGATCCTTGGCACTTGATTTTGACCAAGAAGTCAAAGTTTGACTTTTCAGTGTACAATTGACTTTTGATCAGTTGACTACAAATTTCATTTGTCTATCCAATGGATTTGAAATATTTTGAGCCATGTAATTAGGTCAAGAGGATACAAATGAACTCTTGAAATCATGCTTCAAATCAATTGGTCATTTTCTAGGTCAAAAATCAGAAATAGCCCTTCCTCAGTCAAAACCCTAATTTTTACCATTTTTCCCTTTTGATGATTTGATCAAATTTCTTGAGGAATTGTAATCCAAACTTGATCAAATGATACATATGAGTATAAAATGTTGATGTTGATCAAAAATTATGAAGTTTGACTGTAAATTGGCTATGGTTGACTTTTTCCCCAATACAGCTGATTTTTAGGTCAACTGTCCAATTGACTGATCAAAAATGTGGTTCAAGGCCTGCAACTTGTCATGAGAAATCTTAGGGATCCATAATGATGTTTGAAATTCATATGAACCATTGATAATCCAAAAATCCTTGTGCAAACTCAAACCCTAATTTTGGGTTAACTGTGTAAGATGAGATGTCTTGAGTTGGTCAAACCCTAATCCAATCTTGAGTCAAAGAGATCTTGTGAGGAAATTCTTGATAAGTGAGAGGGAAAATTTTGGGGTACAACAAATAATATTAAAGAAAGTAAAAGCAAAAATAAAAGAGACACGAGGAATTTATCTTCACAGTTTCCCATTGTCATCCTCGTGTGTAGGTACATTTGCGCCTAATTCCAATGGAATTAGGATAATTCTTACTGTGCAAAAAGTTGATACAAGAGAAGTTTTCAAGAGCAACTCCATAAACCCTAATGCTTTTTATTGATTCAACCCCTTCTCTTATTTTAATCTTTGATCAATACCAACACCGATAGATGCAACATATTCTCCGCTTAAACTACTTCTTTGCAAAGATTTTAAACACTCCAAGGATCCTTGCAAAGATTTCAAACACTCCAAGGGATTTCACTCGATTAAATCTGATTGCGCTCTATACACGCAAAATCTCCAATTATATCTGCCACTTATTGCTACTACCTTGCAAATATTTTAAACACTCTAAGGGAGTTCACATGGACGATTCCTTCTTGACCAGTCTTATCGCAAAACCCCCATACCAACACGGATCTTGAAGGGTAAATCTTAACGAAGCATTTTTCTGAATGAAACCCCTATGAAGCTCAACCCAGTACTCAATTGGACACTATCAATCCTCGTCTAGATGGCACCCCAACAGAACATCATCACAATGTAATGTCAGTGTGTTGCATATGTTGGAGGTTGAAGATTAAGAGAAAAGTAGGCTAATTTTATGGTTTCACCAAGTTGGAATGATGCACGAATGATGTATTTATAAATATGGAAGTTTTGATGCAAAAAGGAGATTTTCAGAATTAAAAAGAATTGAAAAATTAACTCAATCAAACAGTGTGCGTCGATCTAAAAATTGTATGTGTCGACACATAAGTCAAATTCTAACTGCATGTGTCAACCTGAAAAATGAATGTGTTGACATAAGCAAGTCAGAAGCTACGGGCTTTAAAAATGCAGTACATGTGTCGACCTGAAATTCGTATGGGTCGACGCATAAAATCAGTGTTTCTGCAATTACTTAAAAGCTTTAGTATGTGTCAACATGAAACACTTATGTGTCGATACATGCAATAAAAATTGATGCAAAAAATGATTTTTCATGAATAGGACCAATTTCAAACATATTTTAAATGATTCTTAAGACCTCTAATACAAGGGAGTGCCACAAGAAATAAGGATATCATTCACCATACTGAAATGCTAGATTTCTGAGTTTTGACATCATGTAAAACATCTGATAGTGAAGTTGCACTCACAAACTCCTCCTTTTTTATGATGGAAAAACTTGCGACGATGCATTTCATGTAGTTATCGAAGGCTCCCCCTAACTTTGTGCTTCTCAACTTCATCTCGCATATGCTTCTCCCCCTTTGACAACATCAAAAAGAAAGAAATCAAATCGTGAGAAGTATCATATTCCAATACCAATACTAATATATTACTCAGAGGCATTTTTGAAAAGAAGAGCATATAATTACATATCCCTTTATATATGTAATAATGCAAAATTAATAGATAACGGGCATAAAACATTACCAAACATGTAATGCAATTTGCATGAATAATAATGAATGTGATGCATGAGCAATCTAGTCATGTTGCTTCTATAGCATCACGATTATGTAACACAATATAATGGAACTCCCGATGTCGCACACACATGTGCCTAGTATAGCGACGAGAACATGCCACTACTCAATCCAAAATAAAAATGTTACCATAAAATGTGACTCAACTACAAGATCGTACGTGCAATTAATATGCTTACATTCAACTCATGCATAAATGCAAGAAATAATAATAGAATTGTGCGGGCTTAAATTATTTGATTTAAAATAATAAACCGGTAGATGATGTGTCGACCGGTTTAATTACTCAAATGTGAATATCCTATTTTATGGAATGTTTGAATTAATTTATTTTTAAAAAAAGTGATTGACTCATTCCAAAAAAACTAAAAGATTGTATTTTTTTATATATTGTTGGTTATAAATAAAATTAGACAACTTAATTGATTTTTTTAAAAAAATAATTAATTGATTAAATTAGATAGATAAAAGAGAAGAAGTTAAATAAATGGACTAGGGGTGTGAAGCCCATCTATTAATATGGGTGCAGAGGGGGGTATGTTGTGGTAAATTGGTGATATGGATGCACCAAAGGGATCCGGGTTGGCCCAAACCCTCAAGCCTTTGTAAAATACACAAACCTAAATGGAACATGCATAGAAACATAAAAAACGTGTTGTTCTTGTTTCTTCACTCTCTCTCCTAATTTCTCTACTCAAGCTACTTTCTACTGCCATCAATGGAGCTTTTGACGCTCAAACCCCAATACATAATTTTCACTATAATCTCAAGGTATTACATGAGGTATCAAGCGCTGGAATTAAAAGAAAACAACATGAAAATTAGAAGAACAATACAGGTATGCATCTTTCTCACACTTGCTTTCTTGCTTTTTATTTTCTGAATATTCTCCTTATGTGGAATTTCTAGATCTTAAAACTTGTGTATCATGTTGTGGTTGCTTTAAAGTGAGCATTTTCGGAGGCTCCGCAGGCTGTGCGAGGTGGTCTGTTCTCCGGGTAGAGCTGAAGATCGACGGCGCGTTACTCTGAGCGGAGATACGAAGCGAGTATTAGCTTCAGCAGGTTGCGGACAGTTGTTGGTGTTGCGGACAGGGAGTTTGTTGGGAGAAGCGGGGATGATGGATGGTGGCAGTGAGAAGTGGCTAGCGGAAACAGGGTTGAGAGGTTGAGATTGGGAGGGGAAGAATTTTGTTCTTTTGTACTGTAATTGCTTTAGGTTTCTTCTTTTTCTTTTACTATAATTTTTTTTACTGTCCCTCTTTTTCTGTTCTGTCACGATTTTATAGCCTTTCTTAGAGATATGTCAATTTGGAAATAGCTAAAATTTGTCTGTCATATCCTAATAATTCTGGTTTTGTATTGATTATGAACAATCCATTTTCATATGCGTTTGATTTAGTTTTTGTTTCTGTGAAAGGAAGGAAGAAATATTGTTTGATTTCCGATTATTAGTACCATTAAATCTGTGATTATTTCCTCTCCTGATTCACACAGTTTCGTTTTTTTTTTAAGCAAGCCTTTTGAACTCACACAATAACTGTTTGTTAGGTTTTGGGCCACATTTGGGTCTGCTTGACAAAATTTTGCTCCTAATGGACTGAACAATAATTTGAGATATATAATTAAATAAAATAATTGTTTTCAAAATAGTAAAAATTAAAAAAAAAAATTGAAATGGATTTTAACGCATTTGGACTGTTTTTTATACTCTAGGTCGGATTGGGCCCGGAAATGGATAATGATAAAAAAGCCTCTTCATCAAAAACAGAAATCATTTTAGGTTAAAATTAAAGTGTAATACTTAATAGCTATAATGAGCATCAATATTTATTAATAAGGATAACAGTAATGTTTAAAACATTCTTTTTCAAAATAATTTCAAAAGCAGAAATGGGCCATTGTTTTAAATTATTGGGCCTCTCTTTTAAATTTGAAAGGAATTTTTAGAACTTAATGGACCATCAAATATTGATGGTCCGTTTTACAACATCACACCCCTTTGACTTTAAACACCCCGTATAAAAGTGAAAACTAAACAATATAATTTATTTAAAGAAACCCTAGATATAATTAAGGGTATGGCAAATTTGGGGTATGACACCCATAAGACGGGTATGACACCCATAAGACTTATTTCAAATAATCCTTGTATAAGCTTAGAAAACTCTTTGACAAATCGCATGATAGTAGAATAAAATATGATGTAATGTCAAATGTGTTATGCTTGATGTTTAATGAAGCTAAACATGCTTATGTACACATATGTGTTTAAAAAAATACATGAAAATATAATATGATGAGACCATTATAAGTATATAAATTGATAAGTCACCATGGTTATCAATTAAGAATTATTTTGCAAAATGAATACTCATAATATATATGTCATACACCAAGTATGTCATGTACTTAGAAAAATAAATAGGTAAAAGAGAAAACTTACTTACAAAGTTAAAGTTAAATCGATACTACCTCACTGTACAATATGATGGAGGATGCACTTTCATTTTACAAGGAACTCTCAAAAGAAAGTTGAACCAAATGCAAAGTATGCCACGAAGATTTTAGAACATCACGATCTTACCACTTTTTACTTTGATAAAGTACCCAAAAAGTAAAACTTGTGATGAGTCCAAGAAGGTCATGAATTTGATGATTATTAATTTTGATTGAACTCTCATCTTTATCCTTTTCATGTTAGTTATCTTTCTCCTCTTCATGTTTCACCGATGCGGGTTGATCAATTCCTTCTTCGGTGTCATTGAGTATGTCTCTTGAAGATATACCTACAACATGAAATGAAATACCTTTTCTGAGTATTCTCGGATACAACATCAAAAGTAATTTATGCATGTTTTACCAATAAAACAAAACTTGTTGCTTTTTAGATCACATGATTCATCATCTTGCCCCATATACAATAGAATTAGAATATGTTTTTATGCCTTGAGCTATCATAAATGAGAACCCATATTCTCTTCATAGAGTTAAGACAAATATTCCTACAAAAACAACAATACAAGCTAGGTACCCAATTTTCATTAGGTCCTTGAGGATTAGCGAAACAATTGGTTGCATTTAGGTAAGTCTTTCATACAACCATAGTGACAATTTAAATATTCACCATCACTAAAATGACTATCGTATATGTGCTTACTTTTTGAGGACCTTGAACTTGACGCCCTAATAGCTTTGGACTTTGTTCTTTCCTCCTTATTTGTGTCTTTCTCATTTTTATTCTTCTTCTCAAGCTTTTTCTCATGCTTGTCTAAGCAATTAAGTTCTTGCTCATGTTCTTCAAACTTACCAAACAATGTAACGAGATCAAGTGTTGTAAGATCATTAGCTTTATTGATCACGATGACCTTCGGTTGTCAATTCCAAGTAAGACATCTCACAACTTTGTTAGTAGCAATTTTATTGGAAATAAGATTACCAAGTGTGTTCAAACGATTAATGAGATTTAATGTATTTTTCTTATCATCATTATTCCATAGTGCATCCGGCTTAGATGTGACAACGTCATTAGTATTGTTTTGAGTAATAGCGTCACACATATCCTTGTTATATGAATTAACATGAATGTGCATACAAGCTTTCCAACAACTATATTTTTCTTCAAGAAAGAATTTGGGGCTGTTTTCAAATCCCCTTTAGATTCGTACGCCATTTTCTACTAAGAGTTTCGAAGCACGAAATAAATCGGAGTTCTGATACCACTTGTTAGACTAAGGAAACTCATCTAGAAGGGGACTGAATAGATGCCCATATTAAAAATGACACTTAAAAATGGTTACTTAAAACTTATTTGGAAAAAAATGTTGAGCAGAAGGTTTATTAACCTAGATCAAAATAGTAGTCTAAACGAACCAAGTTATTGGAAACTCAGATATGCACAAGTCATATGGAATTAAGACAATGATAAAATCAATAAACATAATAATATATCAATTAATAGTTTAATATCAAACACAACTGTTTCATATTTTCAATGAAATCATATTAAAAACATAACTTGACACTTTATCGAACATGTCTCGCGCAATCAATTTTTCAGAATTTTCTGAGCTTAGTTGATATGAAAAAGAACTTACAATTAAAGTGATTATAAGCTAATTAACAAAGAAATTTAAACTTTAACGATAAAATAAAAATTCTATACAAATTGATCAATCAAACAACACATTCAACAAATTGCACATAGAGAGTAAATGAGAGTAAGTGATATAACATTGAAATTTTCCTTTGAGTTGAACAAGCTAAAAAATTTGTCAAATACTTGGTGTGCAAGTGAATTTTCAGAATTTTCCTTTAAGTTGTGTTGATGTGCAAAAGCACTTATAATCAAAAGTGATTATGAGTAATATCAACACTTGATGTAAATCAAAAAATAGTTCGAAAAATTACTTGCAATTCAATTGATAATGCAATGCTATTTGACAAATTTATTGAAGAATATTAAAGTAAGTAAAAGCAAAAATAAAAAAGACACGGGGAATTTGTCTTCACAGTTCCCCATTATCGTCCTCGCGTGTAGGTACGTCTGCACTTAATTCCAATGGAATTTGGATAATTCTTACTATGCAAAAAGTCGATACAAGAGAAGTGTTCAAGAGTAACTCCATAAACCCTAATGCTTATTGTTGATTCAACCCTTTCTCTTCTTTTGGTCTTTGATCAAGACCAGCACCGATATATGCAACCTATTTGCCGCTTAAGCTACTTCCTTGCAAATATTTTAAGCACCCCAAGGATCCTTGCAAAGATTTCAAACACTCCAAGGGATTTCACTCGAGTAAATTAGATTTCACTCTATCAACACAAGATATTCAATTCTATCTACCACTTATTTCTACTACCTTGCAAAGATTTTAAACACTCCAAGGGAATTCATATGGACGATTCCTTCTTGACTGATCTTGTTGTAAAACCACTGCACCAACACGGATCTTGGAGGATAAACCCTAACGAGTAGTTTTTTTGGATGAAACCCCTACAAAGCTCAACCCAGTACTCAATTGGACACTATCAATCCTCGTCTAGATGGTACCCCAATGAAACATCATCTTAATGTAATGCCAGTGTGTATGCATAGGTTGGAGGTTGTAGATGAAAATAAAAGTAGGCTAATTTTATGGTTTCACCAAGTTGGAATGATGCACGAATGATGTATTTATAGTTGTGGGAGTTTTGATGCAAAAAAGGAGATTTTCAGAATTAAAAAGAATTGAAAATTTGACCCAATGAAACAGTATGTGTCGACCTGAAAAATTGTATGTGTCGACACATAAGTCAAATTCTAACTGCATGTATCGACCTGAAAAACAGATGTGTCGGCCTAAGCAAGTCAGAAGCTACAGGCTTTAAGAATTCATTACATATGTCGACCAGAAATTTGTATGTGTCGACACATAAAATCAGCATTTCTTCAATTTCTTAAAAGCTTTCGTATGTGTCGACCTGAAGTACTTATGTGTCAACACATACAATAAAAATTGATGCAAAAAATGATTTTTCATGAATAAGACCAATATCAAACTTGTTTTAAATGGTTCCTAAGACCTATAATGCAAGGGAGTGCCACACGACATAAGGATATTGTCCACCATACTGAAATTCTAGCTTTCAAAGTTTTGACATCATGCAAAACATTTAATAGTAAAGTTGCACTCACAAGTATTACCTTCCAGACCAAATCATCTTTTTAAAATGCTTTTCCCCTTAATCTTTTATTGTAAGCTCTAGCTATTCTTTCTTTTTGTCTTCTTAGGATTTCTAAAGCATGCAATATTTCTTCATCCAAGTCCACCAATTCATTCGTCGCCATTTCCCAATAATGGTCAGAGGGGATTTCGTTCTACCTCTGGATTCTTACTGATTGCAAATGTATTTCTACTGGCAGAACTGCATCATGCCTAAAGGTCAGTCAAAATGGCGTAGTATTGGTTGCTTCTTCCGGAGATGTTCGACAAGCCCACAAAGCTTGATTTAATGTCTTATGCCAATTATTTGTCTTTCTTCCCACATGCCTTTTTATTAAACTAATAATTACTTTGTTTTCAACTTCAACTTGCCCATTTTCTTGGGCATAATAAGGTGTAGAAGTCAATAACTTGAATTCCACTTCTTTAGCAAATTTCTACATCTTTCGACCATTGAAAATTGATCC